TGCTTCCTTCTCTTTTCCCTTTTTTCTGTCTGGGCTACCAGTCTCTTGGTTGATGCCACTTACAGTGGTCTTCTCTCAGTTTGCTGGCCTATATACAGGTTAGTTGCCTGTATCCAGAACTGTGCTTCACTAATCTGCTAAGCATCATTTAATCCATTCAAATTGATATATCATGATTAATAATCACAGCTACCAAATTCCCCAGGTTGGGCTGGAATTTGACATCCTCCTGCATCAGCCTCCGAGAAAGCTGGGATTACAGGCATGAACCACCATGCCAGCTGTTAGCTCTATTCTTTAAAGTCACTGTGCACTTTGGAGTTCATATTGTAAAAAGCACTGCTACAACTGGTGTAAATTTTCAGTTTTGTTTGCTGAGGGCTTACTGTACATACCACTGAGCAAGGCATTCATGTTCTGACAGAATAGGCGCACAAATGATGGCAATGTAATTGCAAAGAACTGTGGTTACATTTAAAAATATCTATAGAAAGCTGATTGTGACATGTGAGCAGGCCTTTAAAAGGGAAATAGTAGTTCACCAGCAGAAAGAGATGGGAAGTATCCTGGTCAGAGATAGACTCCAGTATCCAGCAGCAGTGTGACTTCTGTGGCACCTTCGGGAATCGAGATGAGAAAGGGCACCAGGGATGGGCAGGCCCAATCCTACAGGCATGTGTGCTGGATCAGGAGCTTGGCATTGTATCCTGAGACTCGTTGAAGGGCTTTGAACAGAAGAATGTTGTGACCAGAATCACTTGTTCCTGACATTTCTTTGACAGTCCCTGGGACCATAAGAAGGACCAAGGCCATCTCTGGAAGCAGAGGAATCCAGTACTCAGTTACAGTAATAGCACAGACAGCAAAGGTGAGTCACTGCAGCCAGGCACTGACAGTCAAGAGGGCAGGGAGAGAAGGAGATGAGGGCCAAGAATCCTCTAGACTTGGTGGCCTGCAGCCTGGCAAGTGAAAAAGATTCCCCAGTCTGTCTTCCTTGAACTTGTTGGGAATGGAGAAGGGGAGGAAAGACAGAAGAGCAGGTTTGGGGAGACCATAAGGTTTGTTTTGGAGGAAAGTCTGAGGTGGTTTGGGTAGATTGTGTCATAAGAACTCATAGCTACAATTAGCATACAGGTTGAGTATCCTTTTTCCAAAACAATTTGAACTAAAGTCCTTCAGATTTTAGAGATTTTTGGATTTCGGAATGTTTGCATGCACTTTACTGGTGAAGCATGCTGAATCTGATAATTCATTGCCCACAATCATTTTAGAGCATGTTAGATTTTGGATTAGGAACACTTCACTCTTACATAGTAATGATGGCTATCAGAATGGGACTACCACATACAGTGGTTCAACATCGAGACTGTCTTCATTACTTTTTTATTGCTGACACCCAAAGTTAAAGTGGAGAAGGTTTATTTCAACCTATAGATGCAATCTAGAGGTTTCAATCTATAATCATCTTGCTCTTAAGCAGGGTGGCATGGAAGACAGGCCTTGCAGAGGAAAAACAGTTCATGGTACCCAGAAAGTAGCAAAGGCAACAAAGGATGACCACAGCTCTTTCTCTCCCTTTTATCTTATTCAGACTACCTGGGGTGGGGTAGCACTCACACCATTAATCCTAGTGCCCTGGAGCCTAGCACTGCCATGAATCAATCACATACTCCCTCTAGTTTCAGCTATGTTTGAAAAAGCCCCACCTAAGACTGGCATGAGGCTTTGCGGGGACATCTAGACACAAACCATAACTTTTTTCAACTTAACAGTTGTTCAATTTAGGGTGTTTCGACTTTGCCATAAAACAGAACTGCTTGGAATTTTGAATTTGAATCATTTCTCAAGCTCATTAAATGAAGTCCAGTCCTCTCTTGTGATGGTAGCAGGAGCAGTGGCCACAGTTCCCAGTCAGCCCCATGATTGTGAGTGGAAACTCCCAGCACTTTACAGGGCACTCTGAGATACGTGAGCATAGTTGGTAGGTTTGATGGATTAACTGCACTTTTGACCTATGATATTTTCATCTTACCATGGCTTACTGGAATGTAAGCAAAGGAAGAAGTGTATTCATCAACTTTATCTTGTCTGGTATGTTTCGCTAGTGAATTTATAACCAGTTATTCACAAAAACTATTTTAAACTTCTACTTTAAGTTTTAAGCTTTGGACCATCTCATCTACTACCTCACACTCTCCCTCCGCAGATGACTTTACCTCCAATTTCATGTCAAAAATAAAATATCTTAGTGTGAGACTGACCACAACACTACCAAAAATTCCTTGTTTTCACTAGTTTTGAATGTAATCTCCCCACCCCCAACCTCTTAAACTACATAGCCAGTGACAAAGACATCCCTGACCAGGCAGACGGAAGACTTGAAGGAGAGAGACCAGGAGCTGCTGACTATAGCATAGTGACCAAGAATGGAGGCTGTATTACTCATGTTCCCATCACTGGGACAAAATTCTCATACCTGCAATTACAAGGAAAAAAGGTTTACTTTAGCTCACAGTTTTGTTGGGCCTATGGTTAGCTAGCCCCAGGCCAGAAACAATACGGCAGAAGGGCATGGCAAAGGAAGCTGCTCGATCCAGCAATTGCAGAGAGGAAAAAGATAGAAGCCTGGTACAAGAACAAACTGTCCAGGTCACACACCCCCAGTGACCCACCTCCAACCAGGTCTTACCTCCTAACAGTGCATCCAACCATAAACTCATCACTGGATGAATCTACTGGTGATATAGTACCCACATGATCTAATCACCTTCCAAAATCTCCACCTCTGAACATGAGACTTTAGAGAACATTTTAGATCTAAACCATAACAGGGTTGGAATAAGAATGAAGATGAATCCTGTTGTGTACCCTAGAGGCATGGTGGCCATGCTTGAGAGACATTGGTGTTGAACATCCAGTTACCAAATGGACCTGTAAAATCAAGAGACTTTCAAGGTCACTTGATCTATGCCTTGCAGAAAGAGACTAAGAAGAGACGTGAGGTGAGGCCATGGAAGGGAGTTCTGTGGTCAAGGTCTCAGCACCAGGGAGTTGTGTCGGGAGCAATGCTACATAATTCTAGGGAAAAATCATTTGGTTAGCCTAGTTCTCCTGCCTACAGCCCAGCTATGGAATTCCGAGACATAATTCCATTTTGGCCTCCGGTCACAACTGAGACCTCAACGATCCGGTGATGCTGTCTGTGATTCTCCAGGACAAGAAACATCCTGGGACCTGAAACCATCCTGGGAGGAACGAACATCTACTCAGTTCCTCATTGCTCTTGGATTGTTACATCTTGTTTACGCGGATGTACTGAACTCTCTGCAAGTCATTTGTTAACATTTGTTTCTCCCGATGTACTGAGTACTGAATAAAAGGTGCAGTAAGCTGGGGACTTTCGTCTTTGCTGCCCAGAGCAGCACTGATGAGACTCAAAGCTCAGCTTCTTCTCAGTCTCATTTTTCTACCTTTCCTGTAATTCCCCGTGTGCTGCCATGGCTCGCGGGAGACTAGGACTTACTGCAGAGGTTCTGGTAACGTCCCCTTTCCCTGTTCCCTACAGAGTTGGACACAGACGGGAGAGAGAACATATTATCTATGTACACTTGAACACGTTGTTTTACACTTAGGTGAGTGTAAGACTAGGTTTCCTTTAAACTTTGAAATATTATGATTTTATTGGAAACATCAAATGTGTTTTAAGCTAGATCTACAGTACAAATTTGAAGATCTTACAAAAATTTCAAATAACAAAATCAAAGGCCTCTATAAAACATTTTGCAGTAGATGTTCATAGTATTTAATGAATCTATAAATGTGAGTAAAAATCTCCCATAAAAGTTGAGGAATATTTTTATAACGCAATCGCCAAAACATTGAAAAGTTCTTTGCTGGAAATTCAATTTACTGATTGATGAAAAGGTCCTTCAAGGTAACCTTTAAATGTGTGACGTTTCAATCAGAATATTGAGTTAGGAGCTTCACATTTTAACTTTCAGACACACTGTTAGAAAATTACATTTCATACCACTTTTCTCGAATACATTAGGTAGATAATTTGTTAAGAATTGATAGTTACGCTATAATTTTATGTCTGACTGAAGTACCTGGAAAAGAAATAGTAATGTGCAGAGAATTCATGAAATATTTTAGAGTTTCTTTTACATGGCTCTTCATTGAAGCTGAGTAGGCTTTTAGTTCAGGCCTGCAGCTGTTGCTGGAGCATTAGATTTCAAAAGAAGTCAGAGTACAAATAAACAAAAGGGAGAGAAACTGTCTCCTGAGAAGAAAAGAAAAGAAAAATTAAGCATGTGGATTATCATGCCATTGTGTCTTATATTCAATGTGTAGTGTTTAAACATAAATTTCAAATAATCATTTTAGTCAGTTTTAATTCATACTGAAAACTAGGCTACATAAAAATAATTTAAAATAAGACTAAGATTATTCAAAAATTTGATTTTACTACATTTTCTTTATACCTTAAAAACTGAGTACTTTAAAATAAAGGCAATTTAAGATCACATGATTACATTCATATAATTTGTTAAACATAAATATTAGTTTACCAGAAAAGAACCATCATAATTTCAACATGTAGAGTTTGTTTACCTTCTATTTATTATCATGATCATTCTCTGAGGTTTTTTCCTCAAATATTAAAGTTTTTCACTTAAAAAGAGCCTTAAAGAATGTGAATTTTTAGAGCAACATATAATAATTTGCAGTTTCTTTGGATGAGAATGGTATACATATAATACTAATAAAGATGTAAGTTCTAGATATTTCATATTAATTCAATGTGATTGTTCATAAGATTTTATCAACATGAGATTCTACCAGGAACTAGTCTCACAAGTTTCTTACTATTCATTTAAGGTAAAGTTTGTTTTAAAAAGCTATTTTTAGAGAAGACAATCATGATTCAGAGTTTAAATATTGGAATGTGGGTTTTGAAAGAATGGCTGGGCTTTTTGTTTTGTTTTGGCCTGGTTTGGGCATACTGAGAGCCGCACACTGGAACTGGTTTCCTAACAATTTTAAGTGTGCTCTGAGCTGTTTATGTCATGGAGTAAAATTAGATATGTCTGTTGCTAATACAGCAATGAAACCTGAGAGCAAGCTAGACACATGGGCACCTTCTCTTCAGGCAGAGTTGGGCAGCTTAGATCCTTCATTCTCAACCCATAAGTAATGGGCAAGTTTGAAGCTTTCTGTCTGCAATAGAAATCAGCCAACTGTGGTTAATTCACCAGTGTGATTTTCAAAATTTCTAAGGTAAGCAATCAGTTTTAACTTAAATTTTATATAATTAAATATGTAACTCAAAACTCAAATAGTCATAAAGTTTCTTGATATTTTTCATCATAGGTGACATAATAGTTCCAGTTCATAAATTTAAAATTATGCTGAATAAATTATCTCAAAATAATTATATTTTAATCACAAAATCAGTTAGCTCCTCATTTCAGCTGTTTAAGTCATTCTGACTATTAATATGCTCTTTATTTTTAGCATGATCATGTATTTCTAACACTTAATTTTTTAGAATGTGGTGATAGCATTACAATATTATCAGGCCTTAAATTGTACACTGTAATCAAACCTAGACAAAGTATAATCTTTGATATCATCTTCTTCTATTTCTACTCTTAAACTTTTAGGATAGAATTATATTTGCCTTAGATTTTATTCATGGTTTTGTGAGAGACATTAAGAAATAGACTAATGTGAATGATAACAGACTAAAATGAATGAAAAAGTCAAGCAACTTATGCATTGGGAATAAGCAGAATAGCAATCTGATTCCCTTACTATTCTTGGACTAAAAGAACTTAAAGTACTAAAAAGTAAGACTGTTTCTTCCTAAAATCTGGGAAAAAATTAAGTGGCACCCAAAATCATATCAAAAAATAGGGTAAGAGTCTAGATGTGATAATGCTTTTTTGCTCTAGTAAAACTGCAGTTCCTTCTTTGTATTTCTAAAGTTAATATGTGCTAAGTGGAGAAAATCTTTTTAAAAAGGAAAAAAAATATAACAAAGGAAAATATAATTCAACTGGCTGAAAGACTCACCAACATGATGAAGTAACTGGCTGATGCACAATGAACTACAAAATGTATGACATTTGTTTCTTGCTTCTTTTCTCAGAAATATTTTTACTGCTAGGTACAGAGAGATACACTTAAAGAATTTCAAAAATAATGGCTCACATTGAGGTTACTTTCATAGGTTGTAGAATTTATTTGAGATTTTCTTTCAAAACCAAATAAATAGTATTTTAGTGTAGTTAGATAGGCAGTTCCAAAGACTAATTCCAAATGATGGTGGCTAAGCCTTCAGTTAAAGTATTGAAAATAAAATTGTTCCATATTGTCTTTTTTGGGGGGGAGTACCAGGGATCGAACTCGGATCCTTGTGCTGGCAAGGCAGGCAGCAGAACCACTGAGCTAAATCCCCGGCCCAGTTCCATATTGTCTTATAAAAATATACTTTCTAGTCATTAAAATAAATTGCTATTAAATGGAATATGAAAATTAGGGACTAATTGTAAATTATGAGTGGCACCCAGTTTGCTCAGTCTGTTTTTTAGAGACTGCAATTCTCCCTTCTCCTTACCCTTGTCCTTTGCTGGTCCCTTGCTGCTCTTAGCCACACTCACCATTTCTGTGACTTCCTACAGGGAAGGAACAGCCCCCTCAGAGCCCTGGGGATGGTTCTGCTTCTTTCTTGTTCCCTCAGGACCTACCTGGACCTCACCACATGTTTGTTTCTTTCTATCCTTGCTTCCTGGCCTCATCAGCATCTGTCTGCCTTTAGTCATCTACTACAGAGCCACATAGTTCTAGAATTTTCTGATGAATGTTGTAAAATTCACACCCTTCAGTATATTGACACTTATAGCTTTTATTTTCATTGTCTGATTTTCATTTATTCTGTAGAGAATTGTGTCGGAAAATTGGCACACGAGTATTTTGTAATTTGTGACTTTGCAAAGGCCTCCGGGCTTTTCTCAGAGTCCTTCAAAATGTCAGCATCTACTTCAGGATGCCTGGTGTGTAGCAGGTCACCCAGGAGATGCAAGGCTGGGGACTTAAGAGGGCTCATCTCCACTCAGAGCAGTAGGGAGCCTCGGCACATTTGCAGCAGAAGAGCTGTGCAGTCCTATTTATTCTTTAGATGATCACCCTGCCCACCATGGATTCGAGGCATTAGAAGAGAAAATGAAGCGACTTTTAAAACCTAGCTTCACCTTTGGCACTATTTTAACTTTGTTTTTTAAATACTCGGCCTTACTTGGGAAGCATCTCAGAAATTTTTAGTATAAAAGAGGCAGAGATAAAAAGTTGAGGCAGTGAAATCTGACTACCATGTTTCAGCAATATGATCTTGTATGGAATACTTAATTTCCATATGCCTCAGTTTTCCCATTTGTAAAGTAGGGAGGGAGTTAAATCTATATAAGGCCCTTTTAAAAGTTTCTGGCTCCCTGTATATACTCGCTTCCATCATCATCATCATCCTCATCAATAACAAGAAGACACATAACTCCTTATCCTGACTCTCACCATTAGGGAAGTCAGGGCAGAGTCTCAGGAGGAAGGCTGTGAGTGGGCAGGACCTCTGGCCTGCATTCCAGGTCCCCTACGAAAGCGCTGTGAATGTCCGTATACAGGCAGGAGACTTAGGCTGAGGGCATTTCTGCTACAGCAGAGAAAGTCCCTGACGCAGGGATGGCCACAGAGGAGAGGCTGTGCATGCCAGGATGCAGATAGAAACCCCCAACCTGCTCAGCTGCTGACTGAGCACCTCTAAAGGTGGGGTTTGGGAAGGAAAGAACATCAGTGACTGTTTAGATTTCCCATGAACATTTTCCTTTCATTAAACTTTTAGATCTTAATGAAAACTGTATATAAAATATTCTAAAATGTTAATCTTGGTGAAACATGGAATTATGCTGTCCCTCTATGGGATGCCTTTGAAAATGTGTAATCTTGGCACCATTTGGAAGTCACTTTAAATCAGCCCCTTCTCATTTCAAAGAAAAAGGAATGATACAGTTAGAAGTGAATTTTGGCCCTAAAGCCCTCTGAAACTTTTTTTCCCCTGAGACTTTTTAAATGAACTGTCAGAAAATTGCATATACACATATGATAAGAACCTCAATTATGTTTACCTCAAGAATTTCTTTTGGCTTTAAATCTTTCGTTTAAAGTCTTGCAACTATAAAGAAGCTCATCTTAGTTGATAAATTCTAATAATTTTCTTTTCTTAGATTTTGCCCTTAATTTTTTGTGGCTATCTTTCAGAGTTATAATTAGTTAACTGCTATTTCGTAGGAAATAGGCAAATTGAGGGGTTTTCTTGGAGGGTGGTTTATGGTTGATTTTTTTCCTAGAAGTTTTAGCTTCATCTAAAAATCCAAAGAGGGAAGGGGACCAAGCGATGGAGGGGGGATGGAGGGAGAAGGGGACTGAAAGAGGAATTAAGATGGGCTATGTACATGCACCAACTCCCCCAGCATTAATGTAATCGTCATATACTTCAAACATACACTAATAAAAACAAAAATTTTTTAAAAATTGATGAAATAGATGACAGTTTATTCTCTGTTTGGTTAAACACAGCTTTCAAAGGTGATTTTAATTTACGATGATTCTAAACTCTGTCTTCCTCTGTAAACTACGTCAGACTTAAAGACCATGTTTGTAAAACACAGTTTGGAAAAATGGCGCTGCGATATATGCTGGTCCCCCTCACAGGGCTGGCACGGCAGCTGCTCCCAACTGCCCAGTACCTTCCCACTTCTGGGCGTCAGCCATGACTGTGCTTCATCCCCTGTCCTGCTTCAGCCTGCTGTGCTCTGCCAGACACTCTTCAGGCCATCTCCTTACTAAGTCAACTCAGTAAGGGTCCTCATTGGGGTTCTGCTTCCAGGTACCTGACTCTAGGTAAAGTTCACAGTGTCTTAATGAGAAATCCATCAAGGTGCCTGATCAGTTTTTTTAAATCCAGTTTCCCAGCAGCAGTTGCATAGACAGGTTCTCCACGAAAAAGGCTGTGAGCTGGGGATTTGCACGGAGACTTGTACTGGACCGCACCTTCCATAAAAACTTCCGCGGGCAAGCAGAGGCAGCTGAAATAGGAGATGTTGCAGAGAAGCTTAGCCTCCACAGAGCTGAGGCGGCCCCTCAGAGCAGCCCCCGAATTCCACGGTGGGCTGAACTTTTGCGCCATGCACTTGTCAGACATCCAATGGATGTGGCCCTGGGTGGCCAGCTCAGTGCTGTCCAAAGTCATTCGTGCCATTAACGGTCACTCCTGGCAACGGAGGAGTGAGTGTCTTGATGCTGTTGGAGTGTACCCTTCACAACACTCACATTCTCTTCCCAGCTTGAGCCCAGGTCCTCCTGTGCTCTGGCCACCCTCTCTTCCTGAGATGACTATGGAGGGCGTTGAGGGCATGAACTACAGCCTTGTTTATACAGTCGGTCTCTGGTCTATGACTGTTTTTGATTATTTCAAGCCCCTTCTACAACAGAAGCTCTGGAGGGCTTAAGGATACAAAAGTAAATACAAAGATCTTCTCTTTGTATCCTACAAGCCTCTTCTGCAGGCTTGTTGTTTTCCTCCTTCCAAGTTCTCCCCTTCTAGGCCCTGATGAACCAGACAAGTCATTCACCACCATCCCTGATGAACAGATATGGTGACTGTTTAAATTCTTAAAATGTATTACAATACAAAGTGTCTTTATACACTGTCATTAATCCCCTAAAAACATTCCCCTTCGATTCAAACACACTTATTTAATCATTCTTGGAATGAGTTCTTCACTGCTTTTATTATGATAATATACATTTGACACTGGAAAATAAGGTTATGATATTTACTGTTTCCAATTTACTTGAGTATAGAAGCCTTTTTTGGTTGCAGCTTTTAAATCTGTTGTGGAATCCTTAAAATCTGTTGTGGAATCCTTACAAAGAAAATATCTTTTACTGTAATAAGATTTTTTAAAACATTCACCACATTTTTCTGTCCCCCTGTACTCTAAGCTCAGCTGCTTTCTGCTCCCCCAGGAAGTGGATCAGCCTGTGAACCCCCTGCAGCTTTGTTCTTGGGAGGAGGTTTCCTTTCAGGGTAGTCTTTCAGGGCCACCCAAGTTGCAGCTTTAGGGAAGCAACAGGTGCTTTGTGACTTGCACCAACCCATCAAGCTCACTTACCCTTAAATCCAATGTGGCCCTTTCCCCCAAAGGCTGACCATAGACATACCC